CCGACGTACTTGAGCTGTTAAAATAAAGTTAATAAATGTTTAAGTATTCTAATTATTTAGTATATATAAAAAAGTGCATTTTACATGTTTTTCCCATCACTTATTCATTTATTTATCATCTACACTTTCTTTGTAGGATTTGAGGTTTTCACGGCGTTGATTCCGAAGAAGGTTTACCAACGTTTCAAAGGTCCCTGCTGCCTCCATTATCAGGGCGATGAGGTAATTTCTCTGACGATGGTGGAGGACAGGATTTTTTAAACTTTGATAAACTTCGTCTTTACAGTTATATTCTTTGATTCTTTACATAATCATGTCCGTCTCACTTTTTGTTTCTTACTGAAGTATTACATACCATATAAGTTTGTTATGTTTTTTCAGGTTTGATCGACTTCCTGGTTAGTAATCATCCGATTGCAGTCGCACTGCGTGAATACGTCACGTTTAAGATAGTGCCTATGATGAATCCTGATGGGGTGTTTCTGGGAAATTATAGGTGAGACAAATACATTTCCCTTTATGAATTTTTTATGAATCACATAGCCTACTGCCTTCTTTATGGTATGAATTTCAAAGAAAACATCTTCTTTAAAAGATAAATCTGAAATGTTATATTTGTAGTTTATTTAAAATCGCTCAGACTGTAATGATTCTGATGATAGGATTAATAATTAATGATTAACTGAAAGGAATATGGAAGTAAGGGTCACGGATTGTTTTAAGTTGTTAGCGAGGAATTTGATTGGAGGGACTGAGGAAAACCATAAAAACCCTCAGTCAGGATCGCCGATTCCAGAGAAAGATATGAAGTCGAGACCTTCCGAATACAAAGTAGGGGTTAAATCACTACATACACGATCATTAAACATATATGCAAAAGCCGACAATTAGACACGACCCAAAATGTGTTCGATCAGTGAAAATCCATCGCATTATCCTTACATAATTAAGCATTTTAATAATATGTATCGAATAATTAGGCCCGATATAATCTGTCGGGAGAAAATATCGATAAGTGATGTACGTTTCTCGAATTCCCCCCCCCCAGTAACACCACGAGCCCTCTACTTGTAAAGGATATAAATGAATTGAAAAACCAGTAAAGAAATGTAAAATATTCAGTTTTAACAGAGTATATCCCAACACAAGTTATAAATTAGGCGGTGCCCGAATTTATAACTTGTGTTGGGCAAGGCCGTGGTCTAGGCAATACGGAGTTTTCCTCCGTGGCATCCCAACAATTACTCCATTCACACACAGAAGAAGGCAATGGCAAACCACTTCTGGATCATCTGCCAAGAACGTATATGAACAGGTCCCAGTCCGAGAAAAGGACGGAAGGATCCTGTTCATATGGACCTGTCGTCAGACAGAACACTAATAATAATAATAATAATAATCGCTGTTAATAGTCTCTACGCAGTAACAATGAGAGAGAGCAGAAAATTCGTTAGGAATATATAACGAACCACAGATTAAGTATTTTATAGCAACAAATAATCTCTTTTACCATAAAAACAAATACCCAAGGAAATAATTTGACAGTGTAAGGTTACCTTAAAGTTTAAACTAAGTGGTGTATGATGGTTATCAAAGGTGACCGTAAGATAATTTGATATTGAAACACGTACTATTAATGTAAACGAAAGATGGATTGTGTAGTCGTACTATCGATTCGATCGAGACAAAAGAACAGAACGTAGCGTGTTCAATTTCTTTGGACGATTACGGTGATAATAATAATCTAATTTTATTACAATGCCTGAAGATTTATGTGTTCAAATTATTTATTTCTGTTGAAATATAAGGAGAATTTTTTTTTTACGAATCCCTTTGCCACCCAGAATTCTCGATTCTCATATGTACCCTTTCTTACTAAACTCCCTCGAGATTTTCTCTATATTGAACTCAATCACATTTCTTTTCCTTTCCCCGTCTCTTCCTTTCTCTTCGCCCTCCTTTTGCTGTCCTGCCTCAATTTTCTCGCCTCCCTCTCGTCCTTTATCTATTCTCCCAAGTTAATGTCTGTCTCCAAAATCTGTTTCCCTACTGCTACAGTGGAGACGCGCCAAAATGTTGCAGTTCGAGAGACAGGTTGGATAAATCATTCGTTCCCTCGCGTTCGGTTCCTCTTTTCACCTCCATCTATCCCCTCTCTATGAGATTTCTTTTTCCAGTTTACTATTGGACGCTTCTCAAGAAATTATCCTTCCAGTGAGATCTTCGGATATCGTACTTGGTTCCATATACACCAGCCAGACTCACTGTTTTGGTCCGCTATTGTTATGTGGTCCATGTTGCTTGATTATAATTAGAATATTTGTCGATTTAATTAATATTGGATCGATACGTGTCGTAAATTTACAGTAGTTTAAGATTTCCTAGTCTTTTGTTAGTGGCTTCCGTCCTTCTGCGTACATGAATAAATTCCAGACAGGTGGAACGGATTTTCATAAAATTTTAAGTTTGTTTTACTGAATTTTCTCAATATTCAAATTATAAGATGATAAAGTTGCGTCATATTGTGATAAATATATATTTGTTTAAATCTTGTCAGTCTAATCACAATAAAATTCCTATTAACCTCCTTTCACTTATCACACCCCCCCCCTACAAACAACCACGATCAATAATGAACACTATTCAGTTCAAACACGGCAATACTTCCAGACGGACGTAACTCCTCCACAACTTCATTTCTGGTATGTTTCAAGATTAAATTTATAAAATATATTATTTTATTTTCTATTTCTAATTTATTAATATTCATTTAGTCTTTATATTATTTACTTTACAGGATGATACAAAAATAACAACAAAACGTACACCCACACAAAATCATGTTAAGCACGACGTACATACAGAACAACTTCGAATACGATATTAAAAAATACAATAAAATCTGGAAGAAAACATCATTTGAAATCTGATAAACATCTGACTATAAAAGTTGCATTTAAGAAATTATATTTAAGTTTATATAATTGTTATACACCTGAAGATGGTTCTTTTAGAACTGAAACATGTCGTGTAAAAAAGTGATGTTCTAATGTAAAATCGGACATTTCGATAGAGAATATCATTTAATATATTTTAAATATTTAAATGTTAATTATGGTAATATTTTAATATCTAATAGGAATTTTATTGTGATTAGACTGACAAGGTTTAAACAAAAATTCAAATTATAGTTAAAATGTGACACACACGTACAAGTCACGTAACTAACTACGTGGCTTAGGGAAACCAAAGGTTCATCACTGGACTAACTAAAGCCCTCCACAGGTCCCTGTACTGTTCCAACAAAATCCAGTCTCCTTCAACTCCTATCTCCCATAGATCCCGCCTGAGATTATCCTCCCATCTACGTCTAGGTCTCAATCTTTTTGTGCATTTACAGCTCTGTTTTAACACCATCGGTTTGATGGTAACACGTAGCGTTAGATTTGGTGATATAAGAACGTTAAACAAACAGCTTATCTTTTCAATATGTGGAGATCAGGATAAAATCACAATTCTGTCGTCTGGATGATGGTAAAGTCCGGAGATAACTCGTGAACGAAGTGAAAAATAAATACGTCCGTGGTCACTTCATACGCCCTATTTAGAATCTGGAAGTATTGGTTTTCAGTGGACCATGGAACGTCCAGTTCATTTCTGTTTGGAAATCACTCGAAAACCAAAAGTTGTCAGGCCACTAAGCGGTGAAGAATAATGACCCAAAATAAAATCCCTCGACTTTATTGGTTCATTGTCTACATTCACTGTCCGTCTTTAGACGACATCCGCTTGATCGTATGATCGGCTATGAAATTTATTGATGTCCTAATTTCAGAAAATGGGATTCACCACCGCGAAGATCTTAAATCCTACTAAGATCAATTATTTTGTGTAGTGTACAGCAACTGATTTTGGCTCCCTAGTGTTATTTTACATCATTTATATCCGTGTTTAATTTAGAGGAAATCTAAATCTAAAATAAAATTTTAACATATTTTAACAGTAACTGCGTAATGGGATTACAGTTATTTCGAATGCAGCCAATAAGCGTGTAATTCAGAGATACTCCTAAAAAATACGCTACTACACTCTTGTAGCCTTTACTGGCTAACCCAGTGATATGCATCCTGGGGTACGCGAAGAAATCTGAAGGGGTACGTGAAATTTAAAAAAAAATATATATTATTTTATGATAAACACTGAATAATCAGTAATGTAATTTATTTAATTTATTTTAGATGTAGATTATATACTATGTATAACTTCAATTATAAACCAACAACTTTGGGGGTACAAAGTTGAGGAGAAATTATGTCTGGGGGTACGCGAAGACGTCTTAGGGGGTACATGAAATTTAAAAAATATATATTTTATGATAAACACTGAATAATCAGTAATGTAATTTATTTAATTTATTTTAGATGTAGAGTATATACTATGTATAACTTGAATTATAAACCAACAACTTTGGGGGTTCAAAGTTGTAGAGAAATTATATCTGGGGGTACGCGAACAAAAAAGGTTGAATACCACTGGACTAACCAACCATGTAGTTACTAAATAAATATTTGGAGCAGAGTTTTTATTCGATAAATAGTCATTTGCAGAACCAGAAATTTTATTATCCTACGTATCATTTCAGTCAATACCTTAATATATACCCTATTTTCAGATTCATTTTAATAATATCTTCACATATATGCTTATATCTCTCAGGTAGCCACTTTCTTTAAAGTTCCCCCAGATAAAATGATGCATTTTTCAGGTCAAATTTACCTCTCGTCTCATCGTCTTTGATCAAATTATTCTGATAGTACTTCCTTCAATATTACAAATAACTACGTTCTTAGTTATTTATACTATTTTAAGAAACATGGAAGACTAAAAAATTTTAATAAATCGAGAAAAAAAAATTCAGAATGTGTAGGTACAGAATTCGCGGTTATTTTAAAGTTTTAGATATTTCGTATCAAATGGTAAATATTTTAAAAATAGAGCATTATACTATCACTAAATTTATATTACGTGACGGTTTAACGCAGTGGTAATGCATATTACTGATTCTATATCTCAAATTAGCCATCTTGGGTAAAAAATTTCGTCTATTATCAGTACTTTAGTGCTATTGGTGCCATGACTTCTCAGAGTACTTCAATACTAACTCATACCACACTTATTAAATTCCGCCCTTTAATAATAACCATAGCACATACGTATTATTGTCGTAAAATAGTTGAAAATTAAACACTTCTCTTCCTGAGGAAACTTAAACCAAATATGTAGAAGGAATTTGCTTTGGGGTATGAAAATGTTAGCAAGAAACCGCGCCCTATTTTAAATTGACGTTCTGTTGTTTCTTCTTTGTTATTTCTGTGGATGTTATTATCATATTTTCATTTGTAGCTCCGTCGTGACGATCATGGAAGTAATAGCGATGCAAAGTGACGTAATTTCTCCCCATGAAACCCACTCGCTAGGAAATTATGATGAAAGCGA